AGTTAGCTCAGTGGTTCTGCTGCCTGACTCGAAAGCGCAAGGTCCCGAGTTTGATCCCTGGTACCAAAAAAAAAAAAAAAGTGGCAACAATACTTTAGAAATTAGGCAATTTGTCTGAGGCCACATGCTGGGCTTTGTGGTACGTGCCTGCAGGCTAAAGCAGGAGGCTTGCCGGAGTTCAAGGCCAGCTTGGGCTACACAGTAAGTTTCAGGCCAGGCTGAACTACATGGTCAGACCCCGTTTTTTTAAAAAACACCTAAATAAATACATACATAAAACCGTAAGCTGGCTAGCAACAAGTTTTCTGCAGGAATACACCTTGTCCTTCCTTACCTGGGCAAAGAGGTTAAAGTGCACCAGTGGCTCTCATGTGATCCTCTCTTTTTCCGGAAATCACATACTTCTGCTTCAAATTTGAAACTTGAAAGGCAAGGCGGTCCTAAATAGAATACTGTAAACAATTCCTGTTGTTTTGTTTTGCTTTGTTTTTGGTACCAGGAATCGAACTAGGACCTTGCTTTCTTGTTGTTTCTTGAGGCAGGCTTTTACCATGTGGTCCGTCCTGCCTCTGCCTTGCCATTCAGTACCATAGTTACGTGCCACCACTTCCTGTTCTTCTCTCTCTTTTTTTTTTTTTGGTACCTGGGATCGAACTCAGGACCTTGAGCTTTCGAGGCAGGCGGCAGAACCACTGAGCTAAATCCCCGACCCCCTCTTAACTCTTTAATGATCTTAAAAATAGACAAAAACTCTGGAAAGCGAACGTGGGGACGGACCCCAGCTGCCCTTGGCCCAGAGGCGGCTGGGGACTGCGGGATGGAGGAGGCCGGGGACAACTGGGGACGGCTTGGGGACAGGGCTGGGAACCGCTATGGACTGGACTGGGACTCGGGCGGGGCGGGACGACTCACCCGAGAGGCTGGGCGGCGGCCAGGGCCCGGCCCCGAAGAGCAGGCGGCGGTAGCGCGCGAAGGCGGCGTCCAGGACATCGCAGCCGGGCTGCGCGGCGGAGCCTGCGTGGTGGCGGAAGGCGAAGGCGGCGGGGCCCAGGCAGTAGCGGCGAGGCGAGCCCTGCACGGAGCGCGGCCAGGGCCATAGCGCCGCCGCCACCCCGCACAGCGCCGCCAACAGCAGCAGCCGCAGTCCGAGCGCGCCGCCAGCCATGGAGCTCGCGGGCCACAGCGGTCAGGTGACGCAATCGGGTGGCAACGGTGCGTCATGTGCTGTGCTGCAGCCACTTTCGGCCCCCAGGCCACGCCTGCGCACAGAAAGCTCTGCCCCGGGGAGGCTGAAGCAGGAGGATTTCGGGTTCCAGTCCCTCCTGGGCTACATAGAGAGACCCTGTCTCAAAAGATAGTCAGGGATGGTGGCACACGCCTGTTATCCCAGCACTCCGGAAGCTGAGGCAGGAAGATTGCCATGAGTTCGAGGGCAACTTGGGTTACATAAAGAGTTCAGCCTGAACTGGTTAATGAGACCCTGACTCAACACCTGCCCAATAACAAAAAAAGGTAAGTAAATGCATGTATGCATGAATGAATGAGTGAATAAAATAAAATTAAAAGTACATGGCAAGTGAATGACTGAAGGGCTCTGAACTCACTGCAGCCCAGGGTTTAACCACAAGTTCAATGCCAGTCTAGGCTACACAGTGAATTCCAGGCCAGCCTGAATTAATATAAGGAGATCCTGTCTCAAAAATATATATGTGAAAAAAGATGAGCAGTATTAACAGTCTAGTTGCTTTGCTTCTCAAAGTAACCAAGTCTGCTAGTAATTATTTTTAATATAAAAATGTTATTTAGTTAAAGTATTGAGAGTAAATGGCTTAAAATACTCACAGAGCAATAGAATCAAAACTTGAGAAAAGATTTCAGTGATAATCAAACTCAGCCCTTACATTTTACAAATGAGATACTGAAGCCCTAAGACCCCTAAGGAAAAAAATTTTGAGGGTTTACTAGACACAAAGTTAAAATTCTACACTCAAAGAAATAGAGTGTAAAAAAAAATAGAGTGTGTGGGAGAGAAAGAAAGAGAGGCAGAGAGAGACCAGACACTCGTTTGGAGCCGGCAGTTTTTGTTTTTAACTCATTATACAGCCCAGGCTGGCCTTGAACTCACTGCAATCCTCTTGCCTTAGCCTTCTGAGTGCTAGGATTACACGCCTGGCTAACTGGGTAATTTTGAACAGTACAGGATCCATGTTTTGCCCATATTTAATCAAAATAGCTGGAGACAGAACCCAAAATGTGTATATCTAACAGTCCTAGTAATTAAAAAAATCCAACCCAGAGCCAAATGGATTAGATTTTCTCAAAGACCAGTTTAAATACGCAATTTTCCTAACTCCTAACCATGGAAAGAGCATTGTACTAGAAATCAGGTGACTGAAAATCTAGAGCCAGCTGTGCTGGTGAGTCAGGTTACTTCATTAAGCTTCACATTCTCCCAGGGTAAAACTAGGGAATTTTAAAGTCCTGTCCAGCACTAAACCTAGTCAATAATTTCAAATACTACTCACTTTTTTTTTCCTGGTGGTACTGGGGATTTAATTCAGGGCCTTTGCGCTAAGCTATACCCCTGGTACTTTATAAAATATGTAGGATATTGCTAAGTTGTTAAGTGGCAGGCTGAGGCTGGGCTTGAACTTTTGACCCTCCCATCTCAGCCTCCCAGAGTCCTGGAATTACAAGACTATGCCACCACCATGCTTGACAGTTTGTTTTTGGGGGGTTTTTTTGGTACCTGGGATCAAACTCGGACCTTGCACTTGCAAGGTAGGCGCAGGAACCACTGAGCTAAATCCCCGGGCTGCTTGACAGTTTTTGTAGTCAGGGATTGCAAGGGAAATAGATTTAATACAGGACACATAATTTATAGGATTATTTTATAACAGTCACCCCAAAAAGTCAAATGCAGAGGAGTGCAAGAGATTAGCTGAACACTAGTGACCCAAAGAATCCTCCAGCCAAGGGACTGGATCCCACAGCAATGTCCCGCACAAGTCCAGCTGAAGGCCTAGAGTCCAAGGCCTCCACAAGTCCAGCCAGTGGCCCAGAGCCCACGGCAGTGTCTCATGCTTGTCCTTATCGAGGCTCTGCACCAGGAAGCCCCAAAGGCCAGTGGTGGAAGCCAGAAAACCTGCGCCAGTTAAAGGATTTGTGCCGCCAGGCTGAGGGATCTGTGCTGGAGCCAGAAAGTGATGCTCACAGTGACTGGAACAGCAGCCATTCCCAGCGACAGCAAGAACACGAGCTCCTCTGATGATGAGAGAACAGCCAAGTTCGCCTCAGGAAAACCACCTGTGGCAAACTTCTCCAAGAAAATCAAAAGCCTATGATCAGTTTTTATGGCTGAGTAGTACTCCATTTTATAAAAAAACCACATTTTCTTTATCCAGTCTCCAGTTGATGGGCATTTGGGCTGTTTCCAAGT